GACTTATTTCAGTGGCTGTCTGCCACTGATCCATTATCAAACACGACCAGATCTGAACACACTTCAGTTCTGTTTACTTTGCAAATCACAGAAGGCTGGTTTGGGCTATCAGGTTTGTAGAGATGAAGTTGCCAGCTAATGTCTGTTTGAGATCAGAGTTATTAGCTCAATTAAATAACTACACAATGGCTAGCATCAACGCCTTAACTCCATCTGGACTTCGAAGTCCCCTTCAAATGGGAGAAGCAGTGCAAGCTTCAATCAGCTGAATCCAAATTAAGTCCGTAACTCCTAATTCAAACAACAAATAGAGTTTTAAAGTGAAGTGTACAATGCACTATGGAACATCGTCACTGAAACAATTTTCCTTGCGGGGGGCCGGAATGAAAAGCCTCTACCACACCCGCCAAAGAGAATAGTAATCCAACCTAAACTTCTTCACAGGAAACCTACCCGCACTTTGCACTGAAACATTGTGTGGTTAAATCATACATCCCAGCCAGTGTTATGCCTGTTATACTCAGATCAATCATTCTGTTGAATACGACAAAGAAAAAATCCTTTATAATCAAGAATGAACACGTCATTACACTTCATTTGGAAAAAAATCTGCCTTTTGTTGGGTTAGAATATAGAATCCTTTGTTTGAGGATAACAAATATTATGTTAAAATCGAGTTAGGTAATGTTTATTTTTTCCATCAGCTGGGTGTCTTGACATATGGTAACCCATCACCATGCTTAAGAGTATCCAAACCAGACAAAGTTCTGTCATGAAAATTACAACCCCAATCTCATTACAGCTTTCCTTGCGGACTGTCTCACTTTATGGATGCTGTTGTCCGGGGTTACGAGCCTAAATGGTGCTGAAGAGGAAGGCGACTGCATGGCTATTGCGCGCTCCCAGATTAAATGCTGCTATTGTTTATATCAAAAGCCACTGCTAAAAATAGAGAAGACACATAAAGGCCAATGAAACAAGCATTCATCGCCAAGTTGAACTGGTAAATATCTTTAACGATTACTGGTACAAGAGATCTACCCGAAGGTTGAGTATCTTGGGCAGCAACCTCATGTAATGATGGCATGTATAATAAACTTACTGGAATTGATACGATTTCTGCAGCACAGTTTCAAGTAACCATGCAGAATCATTATCATCGGATTCTCTCCAAAATTAGAAAACAGTTTAGTCGAGAGAACGCTATCGTCCTTCTGTTTTGTGGCATTTTGCCAACTAAAATCAACAGCTGCACATTGTGTTCCCCTTCCACATAGGGCAGATATGCAGTTTTCAATACAAAGTAAATTAGATGTACGTAATGTATAGAATTATGGGCTTCTAATTTGACATAAATTGTGTCGGTAGCATTGATTTTGTTGGAAACCAATATTGTCATAAAGTAAATATAGTAATAGATATTAAGTGAAAAGAGCTATACAAATGTCACTTGTTGTTATTGTATATACAACACCTCAATTCATGACTGTTTGTGGGACAGGGACACTACTGTGACAATTGGCTGCTGCGTTTCACTCAAAAAACATAGTCAAATATATAATCATTTTACAGTATATTCTGTGAAGCACTTTGAGACGCCTCAACGACATGATAAGGCATGATATCAAATGCAAGGAATATTATAATTATTACAAAACCACATGAGAGATATACATACTAAACAAAATCCATCTCATGTGTTTACACAATATCTAGGGCATCTGGACCCTGAAGAAGCTGTTGCTTTTCCCTTGATGTAACTGAGTGTTTGAGAGAACCAAAGTTCCGGTAATACAACAGCTGAAGGCTTTATACAACGACAGCAGGAAAATTCTATGACAGAAATTCTTTGCGCTGTATTTATAACTATGATGGTGCCTGGATAAATACAGGCAAGTAGGATACCAGAAACTGATCCATAATGAGCCCAACTGAAAGGATTTTCAAACCTCAGTTTCCAATGACACTTAACAATCTCTCATTTATCCTCCTACACATGGCTCTTAAGATATACGTGCACTCTCGTTTCAAAATGCAACAGAAATGTCTTAAGGATTCATCTCACTGGAAGTTTGGACGAACTGGGATGTCTCGCTGCATAATCACACACACAGTAAAGAACTGTAGGAATGAGAAGTACAAGATCATTTGCAAAGAAGGAAGCAAAATGAATATATGGGAATGGGCTAACTTATGCTACAAAAGCAATGCATTTTAAAATTACATAATACAGTGAGCTACATAGATGTAGCACAGGTCAGCAATTTGTCCTATCAACCTTTCCCAGTTCCAGTCGATGAAGCAATCCTCTCTCCCATAAAAGAACATTGGGACAAAAGGGAATTTTACTCAAGAAGGTCAGGCATGAGATACTAAACATACTTGGAAGCAGCTTTGCCTTCCTTTCAGGCACTAATATCTGCTGTAAAGCTCCCTCCAGTGTGCCACGTTGTAAAGCAGGTGGAACGCACCTGACATGAAAACTCATCAGGGTAATGAATTACGTCCACTTGTACTTCACACAAGTTGATCGCAATAGTCAATATTTTGCTTCTTTTTGCAATGCATTTTTTTAAAATTCAAATAAATAATTCAAAATAGCTGTATCTGCTCTACACACCACACAGTACAAGCAGCGACATCAAAACATCTGAATTGCATTGGGACCATTATCCTTCCTCTGGCAACTGTAATGTCCCCCCCCCCACCCCACCCCCACCCCCAGAATAAAATCATTTCTTGCTTCAGCCAAAATGCATGTACAAAATCACCTTTTGGTCAACGCAGAGTCTTATTCTGAATTTGGAGCTTCAATCTGAAATGCCACAAATTGTAGAACTGCAGGTTTGAATTAACCCTTAGTTGAACAGCGATTGCTGCTGATACATGTAGCAGGAACACTGTATAATGTGTATTAGTCTGATTCTAGGTCATAACCGACGCAATGTTACAACAGTCATATGCTTACATTTTGTGTTTGTGGAAGGATATGGAAACTGGCTTTGAACTGGTTAAACATTTGGTTTACTGACCTTGGTGTATTTTTTTCACCTCTATACTTAACCTATTTTAACTTTACTTCTATTGTCGCAACTATAGTATTACAGCTAGCTGTTCAAAGGCTCTGAATAGTGCTTTTGCAAAAGTATACTCCAGCTTTCAGAAAGAAAGATAATTACAGTCAGAAGAGCCAGTAATTACAGTTCTACAACGGAAATAGGTGTCTAATTCCCCACCACTGGTCACACAAAGCAAAGGCAGCAGAAGACGTTCAATTGGAGAAATACAACCAATTATGCATCAGTACTTGTTTGCCTAATCTAAACTGCAATTGTATTCCAGACAATGCATTGATAAGAATTTCTCTGATGTTAAGAGCTGTTGTAATCCGTTGTCTTGGAACTGATAAAAGGTGAACTGGTGTCTAGGTCAGACTGAGCTGCAAGGGAAACATTTTAAGGAGATGTGCAACAGCCCACATGGGGGTCTATCTCCTGATGGGCAAACGAAACGAAACACCCACAAGGTCTTCTTTTGCACAATTTAAACTCAGGTACGTATAACAATTTCAACAGAACATCTTACCATATAAATTTACATTTATATCACGCCTTTCACATCAGGAGGACACCCCAAGGCAATGGCCAGTCCAGGGCTTCCACCCAAACATCACACTGGCTGATTTAGTTTTGTTTTTGCACAATTTATAAGACCACATATTGTATTGTAGGTGTCATTCAAGTGCAGAACCCTTTCTCTGGCCACGTTTGTGTGACTGTAAAAACGGTTGGTGTTTTATTCCTCTAGAAAATAGTCAAGTTCTTTCCGAGCTACAGACAAAATAACGAGCAGTTAAATAAAGCAGTTGCATTTGGCTTTTCGAACGTCTCTTTGGGGGGGAGAGTTTATGTCGGGATCAGTCCCAGGCTTTTTGCAATAGCTGTTGCCTATCCCAGAGCTAATGCTGTCGATTTGGTTATCTTCGTGGCATAACTTTATGGGGAGCTGTTCATTTGCAAAGCAACGTCCCACCGATCCTACAGTCTTACAGTAAGAGATTCGGGATTGCTTTCCACGCGTGGACTGAACCTCTCACTCTTTTTGAGTGCATACCAGTGCTGTTGGAACATGCAAGGTGTTGGAAACCTGCAGACGAAAGGGAACTGTTCTGCTGGGCTGCTTTTCGTTTAGACTCCCCCCCCCTCCTCCTCACCCCCTAAATATAGACAACTCAAAAGTGAACATTGTATAACTTCCCATCCCCACAAACACGCACCAACCCACACATCTGCTAAAATTATCCACTCTCCAGGGCAAAAAAAATGCAGAACTTGAAAAGCTCTGTCCTTTCTGAACACCCCCCCCCCCCACCACACACACACACACACACACACAAAATACCCCCCAAACACCCCCAAATAGACAAAGAAACACTTTTTTAAAAAACATTTGGAAACTTGCACAAACTTCTCCCCACCTTACTCTGCAAACCACTTTTGAGCTGCTGTGTTTTGTTTGTTTCACTGGGGGGGGGGGGGGGTGGTGGTGAGGGGGGGAGAGAAGCAAAGGCAATCACCCCTTTAACCCCAGTCAGTCAGTACTTGTGGGGATGTTTTCCCCTTCCTTTCTAAATCTCCCTAAAGTTGTAATATAAATAAATAGGGGTGTTATTAAGTGACACACAGAGGAACCCAAACCACACGCTGCATGTCTAAAGCACAGAGGGAGAGGGGGGGGGGGGGGGGGGGGGGCATCACTTTGGGGTTCTTTGGTTTGCACCAAAAGCACTTATTGATTTGTTGCACATCCACTTTTGTTGCAAACTCCACGCGTTGATGTATCTGATCTCTCCAATAAAGAGACCACAGACACACACACACACACAGACAGACACAGACAGACACACAGACACAGACAGACACACACAAGGGAAGAGGAGACAACGAGAGAGACAAAAGTGCAGGAAAGGTCCAGTTCTGCATTGAGTTGTGATCTCTTACCTTCATCGTGTAACACGGTAGCAATCAAGAAGCCAACAAGCAGCTCAACAGGCTGCATTGTGATCTGGTCTCACTCCCTTTGAAGGCTTGAGTGCTTTTTTTTTTCTCCTCCCTCCCTCCACCACCACCCCCCCACCCCTCTTTCTTCCTTTTTTTTGGTGGTGGTGGTAGGGGAGGGAAGAAGGGATGAGTTTTGGGGAGGTTGGTTAAAAAAAATTCTGAAAAATAATCAGATTCTCAACTTTTTTGGGGGGAAAAAAAAAAGGTGGGTGAGAAGAGGATTTTCTTTTTTTAAAAAAAAATACAATAAAGTTGTCCTGAAGGTTTTTTCTTTTTTTTTTAAAAGAGAGGGGGAAGAGAGAGAGAGAGAGAAGCAAAGCAGCTGGAGAGGTCATCAGAGCATGGCTGGGTTGAGGCTGGTGGTGGTGGTGGTGGGTCGTTGCTTTAATAAGTTTTTTTTCCCCCTTTGGCTCTCTCTTGGAAGGTGAAACTTTAAAGGCGATGCAACGTTTGCTGAGTGCCAGTGGCTAAGACATACACTCACTCACTCACTCTCTCCTCTCATGCACTCACTCACACACTCACTCTCTCTCTCTCTCTCCTCTCATGCACTCACTCACACAGTCACTCACTCACTCTCTCTCTCTCTCTGTCTGTCTGACTGCTCCAACCAGACTGCGCGATTATTTCTCCCAATGCAAACGGATCAAAAGGAACATGGGCCACACCACTTTCTGCCTGTGATAGGGGAGGGAGGGAATGGCTTAATGAACAGTGAGAGAGAGAGAGAGAGAAAAAAAAATCATGCAAAGAAGACCAACTCAGCTCAGCACAGCTCGACTGGCGATGGGGGCACTGCAGCTCTGCTCATTGCAAAAGCACAGCCACAACGCTTCCTTCCTCCCTCTCTCTCTCCCAACCACACAGCACAGCCAGGGATGGCTTTAAAGCCCTTTGCAAATCGTTGTCCCTGTTGTTGTCGCATTGCTTCCAAGCCCCCACCCCACCGGCAACCCCCACCCCACCAGCAACCCCCACCCCACCAGCAACCCCCACCCCACCAGCAGCCCCCACCCCACCAGCAGCCCCCACCCCACCAGCAACCCCCACCCCACCAGCAACCCCCACCCCACCAGCAACCCTCACCCCACCAGCAGCCCCCACCCCACCAGCAACCCCCACCCCACCAGCAACCCTCACCCCACCAGCAGCCCCCACCCCACCAGCAACCACCAGCCCACCACCAGCCTCCGAACTCACCACCAGCCCCCACCCCACCAGCAGCCCCCACCCCACCACCAGCAGCCCCCACCCCAGCAGCAGCCCCCAAGCAGGGAGAGGCTGGTTGAGTGTGTAAAGAAGCTTTATTCCACACTCACACACACACTCCCTTTCCCGACCCCTTCAACTATCTTCTTCACTCAGAAAGAGGGGGGTGGGGGGCTTCAAGGAGATAACATTTAAGTAATGCCTTCAAACAGCATTTCAAAACGAAAGTGCTTAAAATGACAGTCTGTGTTTTTTAGTTTTCTTTTATGGGGGAAAAAAAAAGTCATTGCTCGCTGGTCGAAAAGTTGCATTTTTTTTGCATTAATAATTCGAGATCCAAGATTTTTTTTTAAAAAAAACCTTCGCATGCATTTATATATTATGGAGACTGGTGTCTCTGTGTGTGTCCATGGTCACCAGTGGTCTGTCTGTCTGTCTGTCTGTCTGTCTCTCTGTTAAGTTACACGATGCAGTTTTTTGGGGGGTGATCACTTTTATCACAGAAACAGCTAATTCTAAAGATATTGTTTCAACGCTGGAAGGATTTGTGATTTGTTCCACCACAGCAAGTGGTGAGAGGTAAAAGGCAACGATCTTACATTTTGCAAACCAACAACAGGACAGGGAGATGGGGCATTTAAGAATTGTGGCAATGGGGTGTATGTGGGGGGGCGATATCAAGCAAAGTGGATGCAGTGATAGCACTCCCTCCCTCCCTAGTGTGTGTATGGTGCCTCTCCCTTGGCTCCATCAAGACAAGTGTGGAGGACAAGTTTGCAGGGCTATGGGGAGAGCGCGGGGGAATGGGTTGAATTGGATAGCTCTTTTCAAAGAGCCGACACAGACACGATGGGCTGAATGGCCTCCTTCTGTGCTTTATAATTCTATGATTCTAAGACCCGTCTCGAGACCCTCCTCTTCGACCGTGTCTTCGGTCAACCTACTACCCCTACTCTCCCTGCCCTCCATCCCTCCTGAACCCAACCACCAGCTCGGGTGCAGATTCCTGACTATCCAGTGCCTTGGGATGTCCTCCTGACTTGAAAGACGCAATACAAATGTAATTTTTTGTTGTTGTCAATCCACACAGGATGTCAGCAGGGCACAAACATGATTTTGCTTCCAATTATCGGTCGATTCCAAATGAAAAGAAAAACAAAAGGCAATCTGGAGTGAACCTAAATTAAAATGTTTCACTTCACGAGGTTGGAACCAAAAATATATATATATCAAATCTTTGATTTTTCCAATTCAGTTCGGAAGGGAGCCCTGTTACAAATGATTACTAACGCTATCTAGAGTTACCAGAAATTGGGCCCATAAACTGCAGCAATAACGTGTAATGTTTGGAATGAATTGCCACTCCCTGGCTCCACCTCTACTTATATACCAAGAAAAGAACCTCATTCCTTCGGCATTACGTGAGATATGATGATCCATGTGTTAGTATAGTGTAAGTGCAGCACACAGTGATCTATTGGTGAACAGCTTAGAAAACACACAGGAGCCTGATGGATCATTTAGGATGGATTCTGAAGCCCAGGTATGGTTTCTGTGAAACCCAGACCTAAACCTAGAGTGAGCCCTCTGAAGGTTTTGAGTCATTAGGAATGTGCCAGAACATCTTGAATGTGACTAAAAGTTGTACAATGAAAGCCATCCCAAGAACAATTGTCATCAAATCAAATCCCTGTTCGAGTTATTTTTACAAATAAGAATCATCAACATCATATAGAGAGGATATGTTGCTCTCTATCTCTGATCTATCAATTACTCTCCCATGTATGACATTCTGTACCACAGAGTATGACTGCTTGTAATGGGCACAAAGTTCACTGTGCCAAGACTGAGGCTTTGATGTTTGAACGCTTACTTTCCCCCCAGGAGCTTTTAGCTCATACCATTTTAAATAAACAACAGAAGGCTTCACATACCTTGAGTGCGGCTGATACACATCCTGCAGTTTCTATGCAGGTCCAGATTTTCTCTCGTTTCTCTAGGCCACTAAAGATCAGCTATCCAATGATGTGTGTCCTTCATGGTGGGTCCAGTTGGTGTGCTTAAAAAAAATACCTCTCATATTTATGATACCTTTTTCAAATGCTGTCAGCATTCCTAGAATCACCTCCAGGCAACTAGATTTTCTCTGTAAACAATTGTTTGTGGGACGCTGCTGTGCACAATTGGCTGCCGGGTTTCGCCCACAGAATACACAATCAATTCACTTTACAATATATTCTGTGAAGCCCTTTGAGATGTCTCAACAACGTGATAAGGCACTATATCAAATGCTTATAAAACACAATACACCATGTGGGCTTCACAGCCTCAAAACTGTCTTCCCCCAAAACTCACACTTCCCAGGGGGAGAAAATTGGTATCTTATTATCTATCAGATATCCTGGCTATCTTTACTCTATCCTGAGACCAAAATCTCTGAGGATAGTTGCAGCACCTCTTACTGCCCCTCAGCTAATCTAGCACAAATTTGGTTCAAACCCAAGACTTTTGTGTAGTTTGGGATTTGAGTAATTACACCATGGAATGACATTGCGTGAACCAAAGTATACATTGTTTTTCTATGATTCACTGAAAGGTATTATGAGCTTTATGCAAAATTTTAGTCAATTATTCATTCTCCTGTACATGCTCTACTGGGGAACAAATGCAAGGATTATTATTATATTGGTATAAAAGTGTAAAAAATCATTGAAATAAGTATTGACATACAAGCTTACATAATTTGATAATTTCTTTGTAAACCTGACACTTGCAAAATATGCTTTTGGCTCAGCTTTTAAATTTTTTTTGTGTCCTCAAAACATCAGAATATGTTTTGTTGTTACATGCCCAGCTGCAATAAAATGGTGCAACAGAACAAGAAGTTAAACAGTAACAGAATGTTACTCCATGTACACTCATGGATCCCCATCGATAGAATTCTTCATCTTGTGAAATGAAGTCCGAGCACTACTGAAAAGGGAACGTGGAGGATAAAAGGAGGAAGAGTCACTTTCCAGTAACAAACTAGAGCAGTGTTGGCAGGGTTTTAAAAGCTATCCTTTTAGCTGAAGAATGTCAAAGTGAAGTAGAACATTAAATAATAATAATAATAATTCTTGCCTTTGATAAGGCACCCTTCGTATCAGGAGGATGTCTCAAAGCATTCACAGGATTTACTGTGAAGTGTAACATTTAAAATTGGGGCAAAATAAACAAATAAACATTTGGATTTTTTTGCTAATCTGCTGCTGGTAATAATCACTTGGTTGAGTGCTTTTGTTGTGTTTTATGGCAACGCCCAAGCCTCATGTCACCAATTAAAAACAGGAAGTTTTTAACTTTAAAATATTTATGAGCTTTCCAAGTCGTCTTCTCGAATCCTAACACGTTCAAGATGAAAAGAAAAAGGCTTGATATTTTTTATTTGAAAAAACCTTTAGCTTTAAAGACATGCAATGGTACTGTTTTCTGCAGATTGTAGATTATTAATAAAATCATTGAACTCTGATTAAATGAGAGGTTGAATTCTTCTTCCTAAGAATCATTTGTTGTTCCCCAAAAAGTGACATTGTCGTGAGTTTATAAAAAAGTAGCAAAGCTGTAAAGAAATCTGCTGTTAGTTCTCTCGTAAGAGAACTGTTACTCAGGTGTTATACATTATTATGGGAAAAAAGACAGAACACAGTATCAAGAAATCTTTAGCTTGAAAAATCTTTTCCATTCAATTCTCCTGCACAGACCTCAATAATTGAATAAGGCTAATGTATTGCAGCCATCTAAAAATGTGGGATGGTGAACAGTTTCACTGATAGGTGGAAGCGACTAAAATTATAATTACAGGTTTTCCCCCCCAAAGCTTGTCA